TTCTCCACTTTGCTCCCAATTTTTGTCTTAAGATCTGCCCCTTCATCATCCTCTTCAAGTATTTCTGTTCAACAGTTGCGTCACAGCTTTCATTTCTTAACTCGGGAAAGGAAGTATTCCTCCCCAAAACAGCATTTGCCCTAACTACCGGTTCGTCCTTCAAGTGTTTTAATGTGTTTCCCTTTGCTTGTTGGTGGTCACTTCCCCACAGGTGCGCAGCAGCAATTCAACTCTCACTACTTTTCGGTTCAACTTCATTTTCTCACATTTGAAACCTTAATGCCACAAAGGGAGCCAAAAATAACCCCTCTGCCGTTCCACTCTCGCTCTAGCGATTCCTCTTTTCAAGGCACCCTGTGGCAAGGTGTTTATTATTAGCTGTAAGTCATAAGATCGGAGACACACACAAGTCTACAAGACTGTTCACCAACTGCCTGCAAACAAAGTCACTCCCATCCTTCACCCTCTGGAAGGAGACACTCCAAAGATAAACTCCCAACATTAAAAAGCTGGCTCGCTTGTCATCTCCTACCTATTTTAATTCGCAGACGTCGCAACCGGCAACCCTTCGCTTGTAGCTACCTACATGAAGACTTCTGTTCCACTGACTCCTACTCTTCACAAAGAGGTCTGAGATGAAAAGAGTCTAATCCACTGCCTGTTCAAGGTATAAATCCACGAAGATTTGCATCAGGTTATTCAAAGAAGGGTGTCAGCTGCCTCTCTGCAACACCCACAAGGCCCGCAGCAAGCTTTACATGGGATCAGTGAACAGCTTGCGATCCTAGCTGAACCTATGTGGGGAACTGGATGATGTCTGCAAGGTTCGGAACCTGGGTCCTGCAAACTTGGGATGTAAACCACGTTATTCGGTCAGCATTAATCGCATTAGTTTCCTTTCCTCCTAGCCAGCACCAGGCAGAGAGAAGAACACATCTGACAGTTCAATATTCAGAGATGGACAGTAACAACTTGGTAAAAACACTCTGTAAGCACAGCCAAGCATTTACACGTACCACGAGGTCAGTGAAGACGACGACTTCTGGGTCATTACTAGGGAGATGAGTCCATCTCCTGTCACCGCCCACAACCTACAGTCCTGCCAGGCAGAAGTTTTATTTCCCTGCTGAAGAACAACCGGATTTTATTGAGCTCCCATTGCAAAATGTCAGGCTCCTCCAGCGTTTTGAGGAAAGCACCAGATTTCATGTTCGACCACTTCCCGAACTTCAGGCAGGTTGTATCACAAAGGAGGGGCAAGCCTTGATAATCGGCAGAGAGGAATGCGGTCGCGGAAGGCGTTTCTATCATCTCCTCTCCCGGCGTGCAGCCAAACTTTGCATATGAAATTACAAAGCGTGAGGCTTATTTTTCCTCCAAGTAAAGCGAACTGTCCTACCCATCATGTGCTGCCCTGCGTGTGGAGCAGGTCCCGGCTACCTGCGAGAAGGATCTGCTCCGGGGAATACAACATTTTGAGGAATATGAAACTTTCCTCTGGGCTTTAGCGCATTACCATGATTTTTCCTTGCTGGCAGGAGCCTGCCCAGCTATTTGGTGCCTTCCACTGTAATAACAAGGGAAGCGGCTCACTTTGCATCGCATTCAAAGATTGAAGGCCAAAAGGGGTGTTTAAATCACCTCACCTGACTTTTAAAATGCCGCTGATCTGGGAAGTCTCAGCCAGTTACCCCTACACTGCGGCAATCCACATCCAAGTAAAGCATCTTTTCCAAGAAAAGGGAAAGGACACAACCTTATCCTGAAGACAGCAGGTGGAGGCGGCACTCCTTTCTTTAACGGCTTCACTTAAAGCCCATACGATGCTATAGCTTACTTCCAGTTGTTGGTTCCTGCCATCACTCGCTTCCAAAAAGCATTTTGTACCCGATACGTTTAAAGGGTGCAAACACTTGTGCATTATGATGGAGGACGCTTCTCATATCTTTTTGATAAGCCACCAGATTAACGTGGCGCACTCTTCCTACCGCCGCCCCACGGCTGACTTTTTAAGATGTCTCCAAATGCCCACACTGGGCCACATGAACCAGGGCAACACGGAGGGGACACCATCCCTCACCTGATACGTGAACCCAAGAACCAGCATCCTTCTCAACGCTGCTGGTTTCCCGGAGATGAACCCATTTTGTGGATAAGCCCTGTGTTTTCCCCAGACGGGTGTACATCCGCGTGCCCTGCAAGCCCTTTTTGCTCAAAAGGGCTCATACTTAATAGAAACAGATGACAATTGCTGCTCGGACCTCACCAGCCTTCCAGACTTTGAGTCAGCTGTCATTAAGCCAGCAGAAAACGTACACCTATTTCCAAATGACTAATGCAAATACTGGGTGCACAGGCCCCAAAAAGCAACGCTTCTGCCAGATGACGATTCCTCGTTGACAGCTATTAAGCTATCGGTTACCCATTTCAGAGCTGTAATTTTTAACCAGCATGTTGTGCAACACTAACCCTTCACTAAATCAAATTTACATTACAAAAATGACACTCCCTTTTTCTCGCTCCGTTGAAAGAACTGCAAATCAGGCTTTTCGTCATTCTGCTCCACACCGACGGCAGTCGAACTGGCTTCACCCAAGTTACCCCTCTTGCCTTTATTTTTAAGTAGTGGTGTTTTATGAGCACTTTTCCAGTCCTTTGGAATTTATCCACTATTCAGAAAAGATTTAAATCAAAACACAGCAGGCTAACAATCTCTTCGGCTGATTATTTTAGGATTCCTAGGTGCAAATTACCTACAACTGCTGATTTTAAGTGTTTTTGCTAGATGTCTAATATTCTCTCACCACCGTTGGTCTGGAAAGCAGCTCATCATTCCCATAGGACACAAGTGTGTTGCTTAACTCCTTCCCAAATATACTTTATAAATTGAACCTTATATTTGTTTCCTTCTCTCCACAGTCTTTTAAAAATTTCTGTCCGAAGAATTGCTTCCCCCTCTAATCAGGGTTGGCCTTTACCCAAAGTTACAATAACGAAATTGCCATGTTTTGATATCTGCCTAAATCTTCCCACTTGCATTTCCATTCCTCCCCAGCCTTAGCAGAGCTGCTTTTTCAAATCCCCCAGGCTACTCAGTTGGCCCTGCGTGCCCGTATTAAATGCAACCCAGCCAAGGCTAGCCATCCCCTGGCAACCCCTAAAAGTCAACAAAATGACCCGACAGCTTCTCCTCTTCCCAGGAACTAATACCGACTTATTTTCCTTGGGGATTGACCAGAATACTAAAGATCTCCTTATCTTTCATTTAAGGCTTAGAGGATCGTCACGTTACCAGTCAAGTGCTTCTTTGGCACAAATAACTGTCTCTTTTTGAGGAGTTAAAAAGAGGTCAGTGCTGGAACAAAGCAAGTTTGATCTCTCGAGCTATTCTCTGCCAGCCAAGCTGTAGCTGCTCCTATTCCCGCTTACTGGCTGCTGAGAACCAGCCCCGGGGAGCCCGTGCAAGGCAAAGTGCTAGCGTTCGAATCAGCAAGAGCAGCAGCCCATACAACAGCCCGTCCTCGTATCTCTGACAACTGGGAAGCTCCCAGGTCATATAGTCTGATTTTCTGCACAACAAGCAGACAGCTTCATCCAGGCAACGAGCATTCATCTTGTCTGGTGGTTACGTTCACCATTTTCCTTGGCATTTCTTTGTACTGAAGCACACGTGGCGGTCAGGTCAGCTAGGAGGTGAGGACAGAGTTGCGGTGCCTTGGTCCGAGCGTGGCACGTACCAGTACTTTTTGCTTCCCGCTTGGCCAAGATTGAAGCTTAGATGTCCTTGAAGCCTGGCAAGGCACGGCTGTGCAGCCCTGCTCTCACCTCGCTGCTCTTTCGAGACGTTTAACGCCAGAATGCAAAAAGCTAAGTCATGAAATGCCACCGAGTAGCTAAAGGTTTCAATTAGCAATAAAGCATATTTTAAAAGCAATAGAGTTTCAATTCTTTAAGTAGCCAAAAAAAGGATCTAATAATAAAATATTACAGCAAAAAGTTCTGAACACAGAAACGTCATTAACGTATACTCAGTACCCGAGATCCACTGATATTTTTCAAAAGCTGTTTGGAAGCCATTTGCTCATAGCAACCCTTGCGGTAACTGTATAAAAACATGATTTTTAAGAGCCGGAGCTTCTGTGTCCCTGCTGCTTATTCCTTATTGAAGTCCTAATCCTGGTTCAGTCATAGCTGGTTACTATGGAAATGGTTAAATCAGAGCCCGAACAGTCTGACTTCCCATAAGAAACAAACACAAGGAACAAAACTGCCTCTGAAAATTAAACACCTTGGTTTACGTCCACGCCTCCGAAAAACAACCTCACATTTCCAAAAGGAAAGGTATTTTTAATACTATCCTTTTTTAATAATTGTGTTGTTTATATAGTAAACAAGCACAACTATTTCTTCCCTTCAAATAACCCAAAATGACTCCCAAGTGGCTGTGGTTTGCTGGTTTAAATATACCTATTATCATGATCTCAGAACCTGCGTGTTTGCGTTGCAAACACTGCTGCTAAACAGCAAAGACCGGAGAACCTTTCTGGCAGCAAGTTGCTGTCCCCCGGTGAAGTTAGTGGCACAGATATTCCCCTGAGATCAGAACTACAAACTTTTTGTTGGTGAAACTGCATATGTGAAAACACATGAGTTTCAATTAGACAGAGAAAGTTTGAGGGGGAAGAAATAGGCACTTCTGAGCAGGAAGAACAAGACATTTCAAAGCCAGAACACTTTTTCAGGCAACGAAGAGCTAGAAAAGCCACGGATAAGCTTCTCCATCCCAATACAGTAGAAACATCACCAACTCCTTTCCATGCAGGACACTGCCAAAGCAAAATCTAAGCTACACAGAACAAGAGCATTGGGGGAAGCTGGCTGAACCCCTGCACACATGTAATCCACCGGTTCCCTCTAATAAGCTCTGCCCAACAGACTAACGAAGAACACCGTTGCGTGCCAAACTTCCTTGGCATCACCCATTTCAGACAAATTCTTACCATTCTTCTCCAGGCCCTGAATAAGTTTAAGATTACATTTCATTCTCCGTGAGATTTTTCACGACACTGATCCGATCAGGTCATTGCACTTCGCATCAAGCGCGAGATGCTGCTCCAACGTCGTTACCAAATCTGTTAACGACGGACACGTGCATGCATTGGCGTCGCTCACGTTAGGTGGTTATTAGAGGTGCTCGTGATGGTTGTTAGAGGTGCACTGCCCTCAAATCTGGTGCGTATGACAAGTCCTCTCCCAACCCCAAGCATCTCTAGTAATCCCCTGTTAATGCCAAACGTTAGCACGAAGCTTTCCTTCCCATGAACTCACCCTCCGCAGCACAGCCACAGCACGCTGCTAAGAAATGGCACTGCAACCCCTGGGTGGGAGGCAGCGGGGAGCCCCACCGCGCTGGCAGGGAAAGGCTCGCACGTTGAAGGAGAACGGATGGAACTCACCCTGCAGCAAAGCCACAGCACGCTGCTAAGAAATGGCACTGCAACCCCTGGGTGGGAGGCAGCGGGGAGCCCCACCGCGCTGGCAGGGAAAGGCTCGCACGTTGAAGGAGAACGGATGGAGCTGCCGATTTGCAAAAGCATCAAATAATTAACATCTGAGAGGTAAAGCGGTGCTTTTCTGGGGTCTGAGTCTAAAATCGTTCCTCCAGAGGAAATACGCACAACCAGAGCTGCTGCCTTAAATGGAGCAAATGCCCATTAGGGACCACTTAACTCCTAGTCTGCAAAGATGCAGGAGGACCGTCCGTCCTTGAAACGGCAGGGCAAATGGGTTTGAAGACGGGCAGTAAGGCATTGCTCCCTAACACGCGCTAACACGAGTAACCGGTATCAGGGACGGAAAGTTTTATGGGTTTTGCAGGCTGCGTTCAGAGCCCTGACACATTTGAGAAGAGACGGCCAGCCCTTCTGAAAAAGCGGTGCTGGCAGCAGGCAGAGCAGACCATTACAGCTTGTTCTACCAAGGACAAAACTTCTTTATTTGAGCTTGACAGGTTAATGTGCTTGCAAGAGTCATCCCATCCTCCAATAAAAGCTGTTGATTTACAGGACGCAAGACTCAGGAATCAGCTGAACCTCGACCAAAAAAAGGGGTTTTAACTCAAGAATTAATTCTGCCTGTGCCAGAGAAACAGCGTGCCCATTTTAACCCCCATCACATCTTCTCCACTAAGTCACATAACTCCTTTCTTCTATCCAGGAAAAAAAAAATGAAACTTTAAAAAACCACCTGCTAGTCATATTCAAGCCAAGAAGCCACCACTGCCTTTAGCTGACAGGGACAATGTTCCAGTTATCTTCTTGTTCTCCTCTGGGGTGGGAGGGAAGAGAAGGCCAGGCTGGCTTGGTTGATTTTAGAGGCATTTCAGTGAGTTAATATGTCACCTCTGTTGCTCTCGGACAAAAGCAGAAACAAAACCAAATGCTACACATGGCCAGTTTCATTTCTCCAAAAAAGGGGGGGGGGGAAAAGGGGAGAGACTACAACCAGGTTTGTGTTTACACACCAAGACCTTGCTGAAACGTTAAAGGTTTGCTGTAGCCGAGAAGCTCCACGCGTGAATCCTCCCGATCCCACATTTATATTGGGGAAAAAAAAAAGTTAGATAAACTGCCCTGAGTTTCACAAATGTAAATCACAGCTCCGCATGCGCTAATTAAGCAGTGCCACTTGGGCGCAAGACAAACCTAACTCTGCATTTTTGGAGCTGACGATGAACCTGTTTTCTGGAGGTCTCTTTTTCCTCTTCATAAATTAAACAAAAAAGCCCACTGAAAAGCGACGCCAGCCGGCCGCGCAGCAACACGGCCGCCGCTCCCCAGCTACCCTGCCGTGGATTTTTCCTTTGCTTTTTTGCATTTGACTTTGCTCTCCCAGGCAGAAAGATGCTGGGGAAACTTGCTTACTGATGGAGATCGCCAGGACCATCCCATCTTCGTTAGTATTATAAATTATTTGCTTGGAGGCTACGAGGGAACCAAACTTCAAGAGAAAATTCCTCTACAACTAACAGCAACCTTATGCTCATACAGCAAAAGGATGGCCCGGCAACACACAGCCACTCATTCAGACTTTTCACGACACACGTTATTTCAGCAACGAGATTTTAATTTCCCCATCCGTGAAATTGGGATGGTTCAAAACCACCCGAGAGGGATGCCGCGAGGCTAAATGAACACACGGGCCTGGCAAATAACTCAACGATTTCATAGATGGTGCAACCCAGGTATTTACAATCCAGCACCGAAGTAATTTGACGTCGCAGGGCGACACGGTGTTAGTAACTGCAGTTTCTCTCTTCTGTCATTCACACAAGGTCACGGCCACGGGGGACTCTCAAGACATGCACCAAACTGGCCGAGAACAAAACGCTTAATTGAAAAACAAAATAGCTCCTCGCAGAAATACGGACACAAAGCCTCCTTTGAACCTTTCCTTCCCCACACGCCTCGACCCTCCGCTGGGCTGGGGTGGGTGGCAGGAGAGGGGCAGTGCCGAGCCACCTACACCCACCACAAAGCATCAGCCGAGCCTCAGCTAACATGGCAGGACTGGGTTGAAAATTCAGTTCAGGGCCTCATGTATTTTGGAGAAGGAACAAATATTTTCACTCAAACTTCCTATCTTTAGTTCATCGAACGGGGCAATAACCAAGGTCTCTGCCCGGTGCTGGGACCCCTAGTCCTGACCTGCTTCAGACTTGTTTCACAGCAGAACAGCATAATACTCGCTTTTGCAGAGAGCCTGAAGCATACGGAAGAAGACAGAATAAAGTGCTCAAAAGCTGAGCTTTACATTATTTTTTTCCAAAAAGCACCAAATATGAGTGGTCCCCTACATTGGTGTGTCTCTATTTTTAATTTTCTTTTTTTTTTTTTAAAAAGAGTCTGACAACCTTTAGAAATGTTTAATTGTTCAGACACCACGTGAGATGCTGAAACCCCTGCAGCATCGTAGCAGCACACCAACAAGTCAGGAGATGGGAGCCAGCAGCGAACACGGCCTCGAGCAAACAGCGTGGAAATTTAGCGTGAGTATCCGACATGGAAAACGGGCAAAACAAAGTAGACAGCCAACGGGAGAGGGCACTGAGGGCTCTTCAACAAGAGGTCAGCAAGAACCTCGGTTACTTGTCTCATTGGGAAACTGCCTGGAGGAAGGCTGTATTCCCCAGCGCCGCAGGGGGAACTGCTGCAGGTACCTCCAGGGAAGAGCATCATGGTCTGAACGCTCACACGGTGATGTCCCCATCGGGAAGAGAAGCAGCGGTGCCTCACTGTATGGAGCGGGACGAGCTCAGACGTACCCACAAGGATGCACGCCACAGCTCCAACAAGCATGTTTTCCCGTAGTCGGGTCTAATTTCCACCTCTCTGCAACAGCTCTAAGGCAGGAAGGAGAAGGACGTTGTTCTGCGTGGGGAAAACAAGCCCTGCACGCTCCCTCGAAAAAAAGGCACGCGGCAAAATGCAGCTTTTGCCGGCCTTGGCTCCAAAGTCCTCGCATGGCCACAAACAAACAGAAATCAGATGGGAAGGGAGAAAGGCTCCTCTTCCACCCGCGTCAAAGCGTGAGACTGTGGGAGGGAACGAGCACATAGGGATTCCCAAAACCAAGCACAGCCTGATTAACGCTCAAATCGTGTGGAACAAAATGTTTTACTCGTCCATCTGCTCTACGACTGTGCTGAGTAATCCCGACCGCACAATATTTGATGCATTTTGCCAATGAAGTCAATTACGTCATTCTCTCACTGCCGTCTTTTGGAGGGGCGAGAGTTAGAGATTGAAAAGTTTTTGTGCCACTGTTACTAACTGCTGCTGGTTTCAGGACGGGAGGGATTCCTCCCGGCTTCCCCAGGTCTCAGCAGCTCTGCAGATCCCTGCCTGACTCGTAGCAGGTTGTCAGCCTCCGCGCTGCGCTTTATCCATCTGCAACCGATGGCAAGACCAGCCGCCCCTCGAGAGCTGGGGGTCCTGAGCCGTGCAAGAGCAATGCAGGTGGGTGCACTGAAGAAGAGCAACTTGGGGGGAGTCCAGCACCTCCCAAGGATGAACAGGAGCACTGCACTGCAGAGAGCGCTTGCTGGAAAACCTGTCTTGAGTGCCTTTCAAATTCATTAAATCAATTATCCCAAATGCCTCTGTGCCAGCTCCATGTGTTATTACTCAAAACAATCCCATCACACTCCATTATTTATACCTGGGGACTGGCTGTCACAGGCTTAAAAACAAATATATCTCACCTAGCTTCCCAGTTCGTCAGCCCCAGCCCTGGCTCGGTGAGAAGCCTCCTTTCAGGTTGGCCTCGCTGGCACTGCCATCCTGCAGCTTGTCCCCTGTCCCATCCAAGGTGGCCGTGCCAGAGCCCCCCTGCATCCCTGTCCTCCGTCCATCCCCACCAGCCGCACCTTCCCATCGCCGGCGCTCACCTCACCCAAACCACTTCAAGGACTTACCCTCCCACAAAAATTAAACCAAACCAACCAACCAAAAGGGAAAAAAAATAAGAATAAAAGCCAGTTAGCTTCCTGAACCAGTTCACGGCGGGGTCAAACACATGCCAGCACAGGCAGCTACAGGCAGGATGCGGCCGCAGTAGGATCAACTCGGATGGGTGTAAAAGGTTGTTAAACTCCAGCCTACAGCCGCAGTTTCACAGATGCACGAAAGTCGGCACTTAAAACAAAGGTCCGGCCGTCCTCCTCCCCACCCCTCCTGTTCCCGAGGTCTCCCTGTTAACCAGATCCAGGAATCGAAACAGGCAGAAACCAAGCATTTCCTTTTTCCTGCTGGGTTAGTTTTAACCTGGCTCAGTTTGTTTTAACCTCAGCTTACCGGAGGGAGGGCAGAGAGAGCAGCAAAAGCAGGACCACTTTCTTCCCCGGTAGCGTTGGCTTACGTCTGCATGGCAGCATCTTGGGAACTACAGACGAAGCAAAATACTTGTTATTTATTTGGCTCCCTTGCATAAAACCTGTCAAGCCGTGCGCGGAGGAGACAGCTGTGACTGTCACTGTTTCCAGTGATTATGGCAAGGAGCT